TATGAATATGTCATGTAAGTCCTATCTGTGAAATTTAAACGTTAGCAGTGTCCTAATATTCAAATTATGCAAGGAAACCCGTTTACTTGCTAGACTTCACTGTCAGACACTATTGAGTGACTGACTGGCTTTTTTCTTCTTTGGTAATAACATACATAAAAATGAGCTGTAAACGGTACATGAGCATTTGTCTACATCAATAACCCACTTCTTGTGATGACCAAAATTAAACTGATTGAATCTTTGCGCAGCATAAAACGTATGAACATTCGGTAAAATGGTCTGAAAATCAAGACTATTACTCATTGGCTATATAGCTCCTAAGTCGATTTGACAACTAATAGTCGTTAATTTCCCACTTGAAGATAATTTAAAGCCCCATCTTTTTTAGGGAAGTTCTAAATTAGTATTATCTTTCAAATGCCATCTGAATTTAACCTTTTCATTTTTTGGCCTGCAAATGGGACATAGTACCTTTAAATGAGTATTGTAGATATATTCGACATTGGCTGATCCTAGCACGTCTATTGACATAGTCTTCCTTCGCTGAAACAGTACGGACAAACTTTGATATGTTCGTAATTGTTGGTTTGTTCTTTTTCATTTCAGAAATTCTCTTTCTTCATGTAATAGTGTTTTAACTCGTCACAATACGTTTTTCCCAGTACTTCTACCAAAACTTGTACCCCCTATATCTTTCAAGTCCCCAAAGTTTGTTTCTTGATTGAAAATGAATTCAAGCTAGGTGCATGTATAAATGGATGCAAGAACCCCCTCCCTCCTCCCACTCCCCATCCCTATATTATTCTTCCCGAAGCCCGCGTGTTGCTAACCTAAAGAAAATATTTATACAATAAATATTATTTCTTGTTCTGGTCATTTTCTTTTCTATTAAACAGAATACGCGCATGGTATCATGGATAAAAATGTAAAGTGATGATGGTGATTATATTAAATATTAATACAAATTATTTACATATATATTCATTATTTTCAAACTGCCATGGAGAAGATGGCCGAGATTTACGTCTATTTACAGTTCTTGAATTACTATGATGAATAGACCATGAATAAAACTGAATTTCTAAATTAAATTACCCCATGCTATACACTAGACATCGAATGAAATCTGCTTAGGTGTGTAATTGGCAACACGTCTGCTTTTGTCTGCTTTTGTCTGCTTTTGTCTGGTTTTGTCTAGTTTTGTCTGCTCCAAGGCTCCGTTACTTTATCACCTCAGATTCGTTAAAATTGCATCGGGGCTTATTATTAGCCACACAAAAAAGAGCCCTGGTAAATACTCAGTCGTGACCAAGCAACATTGTGTTCTGTTCCAGTCTCGCATTTGTAAAATTGATGATTTCACGTTCAAATAATCATGTGCGACCTCAATTAAACGAATAATCAATCACATCATAATGGCTGAGTTCCTCGCGGATTTATATGGCTCCAAAGTGCAGGTGTGTATTGTAGTTCCACTGATTGTAACGCAAGTGACTCAAGGCCAAGGGTAAGCCGTCGTTGTACGAATATAATTTCAATTGTTTAAACAAGAAAGGAGGATAAACTATCATTAAATTCAAATCAATTTATTTTTTTCATCTGGGGGCTTATCCAGAGAGTATCTCACAAATGTCGTATTATTAAGCAATCTACTTACAATGACAGTCCTTCTTCCGCAAATAAAGTTATAATGTTTGAGGAAATTAGTATTCATGACGGTTTATCATTTCGTTTTTGAAAATAACAATTTATATATATATATATGTATTTGCTTATTTATGATTCATTGTCAGAAAGATATTTATTGTACTTTATATTATTATTGTTATTGAAAAAAATATGTACCTACATGAATGCAGAAGAAAATTAATCAAACTCAAATCAAATGACACATGGGAGGCCAGCCGTAACGAATGTGCTTCTATTTTTCTATTAAGCCTCGGTCACAAATGCCAATACGACCTGCTACGAACGCCGTACGAACTATTTTCAGACAATGGAAATTCGGAGAGACAATGGAAAACAGGGAGATTCGTACGAACCTTTGTGACCGTAGCTAAATAATCTAGGAATTGTATCAGGGAAAGCAACGAAATAGTATTCTAAAATATTTGTTATAACTTTTCGACATAACTTTCACAATAAAGTTCACCAAACGATTGACTTGTCATGCACACGCAAATGAAGGAAAATATAAATAATATTATCACTCCAGGTCAATTTTTGTTTGGGGAGGGGGGAAACAGAATGGGTCTGACGTATTACACAAGATAGGCCTGCCATATGAAATTAAGTTCGTGACTGTCAGTAGCTATCTGGAATGAACTGCGATTTATATTTTATTGTCGAGGGATAAACTACTTTCCATACAAATGCTGATCCCCCTGTACTTATATTACTAATCAATTACCTGTTCCAGTTTGGTTGGATGGTCGCGAAGTGGTTGTTATGTTTCTTATTATTGGATACAATTACTTTGATGAATATTTCATGAATAGAAAGAATAAACAAATCATATATTCATTCATTTCATCCTCTCAAGAATAGAAATTTAATGCATATTTTTTCGTATTTTGCCCTTTACGATTAACCCAATTCGAATTGAAATATTCTTATTCTGTAGATAAATGAATAAAAGTATTCATCAGGCTGATCTTACAGGCCCCTTTCTCCCATTTTCTGTTTCTACTTTTACACTTCTTCTCCCTTGGGGTAAGGGTGTGATATATTTGGAAACAATCATAGAAATGCGTTCTGAAAATAGAAAGAACCATGGGGAATCTCTTAAGGGGATTATGTCCCATTTGCAGGCCAAAAAAATGAAAAGGTTAAATTCCAACGGCATTTGAAAGATAATTCTAATTTAGAACTTCCCTGAAAATGAAAGGGCTTCAAAATGTGTTAAGTGGGAAAACAACGATCATTAGTTGTCGAATCGACTTTAGTGATTGCAATCCATTTAGTAATAGTCTGAGACCCTTGGTAGAAATCTGTTGTCGTATAAAAGATGTCACTGGAGAGGAATCTGGCCACTACGTACGGAGATTTCTGATATCGTGTGAACAGCGCTTCTGGACCGAGATGAATGTGGCATCGTATGAATTGTGCTTCTAGAGCAAAATCCGGCATCGTTCGGACAACCATGATGAGTCTTGAAAAATAAAAAAGTCTGAAAGGGGAATTAACCTCTCTACTATCCAGCATTATCATGACATAGAGAATAAAATAGAGTTTCATTTGATATAAAAAGCATTGCTGTAGGCCTAATAATATCGGCTTGTAAGGACAGTAAAGAGAGCCTACTTCGCCATTTTAACGACGTCGTCTGCTCCCAAAGGAAGGTGCCATTTTGTCGAAATTTCCCTTTAAAACTTCCGGGTTTTGAGGTTTCGCAAGGAGATCTGAGCCCCGTCTTACAAAGAGTTATGATTGATCTGAATCAATCGTAAGTCCTCCAATCAATCGCAAGTTTGCAGTTTCCTATCTCTTATGTACATAGTTGCGATTGATATCGATCACAAATAAGTTGGGATTGATATCAACTCTTTGTAAGACAGGGCCCAGATGTAGCGCGCGGCGCGCGTGTTATATGCTATACACGACAAACATGGTGTACTACCAAGTGTTTGGTTGTAGTAATTGTTCCTCGAAAACCAAAGGTAAATCGTTGAATTGGACGAACACATTCGATGAAATATTGAAGCCATAGGTAGCAGCTCTGAAGATGGAGAAATTTCTGAACAAAAAGAACACGTAGGACAGGAAAAACAATGTGATATGCAGTGATCATCGATAGTTTACAGCAGGGAAACGTACGTACAGAATAGGGTCGAATCCGTACGTCCCAGAAAGAGCCGTGCGCAAACACAAGGCGACGTTCTGAAAATTCCCAAAGCCGCCAAGACAAAGGATTCTGAAGAAGAGCTACGTCCCCCCTTTCGTCAAATTTATGATGCTTTATATTTTTCAGATAATGTTCTAAATGGCCTACAAACTGAAATTAACGTGTAGTTTGAGGTTAATTCCCCTTTAAGTCATATGAATAACGAAACAATGAAAATGTTCTCGAGAAATGCTGTTAATATGATAAGATGAGGAAATATAGACAAGGGGGGGGGCAGGTTTATTAAAGAGAAGGTAGTTCTATACATAACAATTAGGACGGGACTTTGAAAGAAGAGATGGTGAAATAAAAAGAAGATTAATGGAAAGTGGAGGGAGAAGGTTACTTTAACAAAATAATCCATCTATAGCTAGGGGCGGATCTAGCCGACGACAAGAGAGGGGGCATAAATCTTGAGAACAAATTTAACGCACATGTTTGTTTATTTTTTGGTACAGTTTTTGAGGAAAAATTTAGCGCCTACTCAGCCGGCCGGTGAATAAGCGAGGGGGGGGGGGGTAAGAGCACATAATTTTTTTTTTTTTTTTTTTTTTTTTTTTTTTGGGGGGGGGGGGCCAATTCGTGACAAAATATTTAGCAGCGATTCATCCAGCCGGTGAATACGCAGGGGGGGGGGTTATGGAAATGAGAACCACTAATTTTGTTCTGGTGTGGGAGAAAATATTATTTTTTGGGGCCCGCTTTTTGTTTTTAAAAAGGTTAAATTTACGTTATTATTCCATTTTTTTTTACAGTTTTGTGGGCTAGGGGGGGACAGGCCGAAAAAAAATCGCCACGTGGATCCGCGCCTGTTTATGGCAGTGGTCTATTTATTTCTTCAACCATAATCTGATAATGCATTGACACTTGTATGAATCACATACATTTTTCTCATCTAGTTCAATCCTTTCAAAGCTTTTACATTTTGTTTAAACCGATTTCTAAGCATTTCGGCGTATCACATATTTAAAGTGTGCCTCTACACCTTCCATCATACCTATGCGTCCTTTCGCTTACCACGCTCACGTGTGAGATTTATTTTGAGCACTAAATCAATTCTGCTCACTGGTCACTGTAGGAGGCTATCAGTTACGTTTATTAACGTCGGATATGCAGATAACAAAAGAACTCGACGTTTTATCATTCTGGTCATTAATATTCATCCGCCACTGACCAGCAAGCGATGTCCGCTGGTCTTCTAGGTCTTACGCTGAAATGGAATTTTCGTACAATGGATTAATTTGAGCGGTCGTGTTAGGATCAATATCGTAGCGAGCAATGTGTTATTGAATTTAGGTTTCAAAAACACAATTTGCTAGTAATAGTATATAGTTGCAGCACAGAAGTGCGCAGTCAAACACCATACAATAACAGTCAAGATTGGAAGAAGGACTGAATACATCGTTGGATACAATATTCATGTAAGTATTAATTAACATAGGGATTTATGTATGCAATTTATTGTTTCTTAATTCATAGTGGACTTGGTGACAGTTTTTACCTATCAACACTCTGTAATTGTTTAAAGCTTCAATGTGCAGTAAAGTAACCTCAGGAATGGGCATATGCGATCCAAACGGCATAGACTAACGGGCACATTGTGGTGAAGGGGGAGGGGGAGGGGGATTGGCGTCATTTGCCCGACTGCCAATGTTCCCGTCCCAAGATTCGCGATCAAACGAAACGAGCTAGCATCTTGCAATAACTTTTCATCCACTGTATACTTGTGTCATTTTGTAATCAATACATATGTCAATGTTTATAGGGGAGGACTATCCTTAAAGTAGAATTAAAACTCTATCAGTTATCAAGAAAAATAAAGATTTAAAGCAACTAAATTTAGTTTAATATATGAAGACAATGTCACTATACAAATGTTGGAGTGGAGACGTTAAATGACTAAAACCTACGTCTCTTTACAGTCCTGAATATAATTTACTTTTCGTCTCAATTGTTTTGTCATAAATTCATATAATTCTATTCATAGTTTTATATACTTAGTCGAATTAAATGTACACAGATAACTTCATTCAATTCCCCCTTACTACATCTCACCTATAAGTATTCTTTTACAAATAGTTTATAACATTTTCCCGTTGCTACGTACGGTTCAGTTGCAATAATGTCTTTTGTAATCGTGCATGAGACCAGTTTCATGAAAATATCATATAGCTGTCAACATGTCAACATTAATAACTGTTTCTAAGTTGAGGCGTAATGAAAAAGGACGTGACAACATTAATAAATGCAGAATTGTAATCAAAGAATAGAAATGCAAGGTGGTTTAAAAATTTATGGAGAAAAACCGTCGGAGACAAAGAGACATACTAGAAAGAGAGTCTGTGTGTAAGAGAGGAAGAGAGAGAGAGAGAGAGTGAGAGAGGGAAATAGACATACTAGAAAGAGAGTCTGTGTGTAAGAGAGGAAGAGAGAGAGAGAGAGTGAGAGAGGGAAAGAGAGAAAAAAAGGGTGCGTAAGTGTGGATGATGTGTGAGTGTGTTTTAGGGTGTTTTTGCGTGTCAATTCTTTGATGCAAATTATTGATCAATCAGAGCAATATTCACGTCGTTGTTATGGTATTCGATTCAATTCAATTCATTTCAATTCAATTCAATTTTGATTTTATCAAAAATATACGAAATAACAAGTCCGAAGACTGAAAATAATTAATTCACATCGTATTAAGACATATACAAATGCGTCAAAAACAGTAAATCAACAAATTCAGTAATAAGTTAAAGTAGGACAAATTCACGAAAAAACACATAAAATGTAAAAATGGTATAATAATATATAATACTACATTAAAATGATATCGATTAAAATTGATATTTGATATATTTAATGTGAAGGATAAGCATACTATATATTTGAAAAAAAATCATAATGATTATCACTATGAGTAAATTGAGAAAGAAAGAAGAAAGATAGAGTGAAATAGTGGAAGAGGGGAGAGGGAAAGGATAAGAGAGATACATTTGAAAGAGAGAGAAGAAAAAAAATATATAGATGTCAGACTCGAGGTCACAATTTGTCATTATCGTATGTACCTTACCTACGTTATGAATAATCTAATGACTAGATTCAATACAATGACTTGACATCTTTTAATAGCCATGTCTTCGGTCCTATACAACATTGATGCTTGCTTTATCTAGAAACATGATGCACCCTCAACAAATGATAATACACTGTACAATATCCAAGCTGTTTTGATGAAGAGAGGAGTGAAAGTGAGAATAATTTCACTTTCTCTTATGAAAAACGAGTGAGAAACAATTGTAATGTCGTTGGATTTCAGTTTATTTTGGTTGGCATTTTTCTAATTAAGTTACTGTATAAACTAGGTAACGAATATGTGATTTATGAGCCCGTAAAACTCTTGAACTATTAAAATGTCCAGAGTACTATTACTTACACCGTATATATCATATTGATATTGATTTATTGATATAAGTATTATATCTAGTGAATTTTCAGTCTGTAAGTAACCTTGTACTTGTCACTCTAGCGAATTGACACATTCGCTGGCTTACTGCCTGTGACAATCGGCATAGACAGTATACTGAATAGTGAATAGGTAATACTCAATAATATGATTCGCCCAGTGCGTTATAAAATAATGCTCATGTAGTAATCCATTCCCTGCTTCAATGTGATTTTACAGGCAGGGTATTTTATCGACATCCCTACCTCTGCTGTAAAGTATTTTCACAAAGTAACACGCCACCTTTCGGTGAATGCGTACATAAAGCGAGTTCCGGTTCCTGCACCCAAGCATCCTCACGGGTTGGTGATGCAATTGGTAATGCATTGTGGAACATTGATGTTGATACATCGGGGCATACACCAGTTTATGGTTATTGGCGCCATTTTAATTTACGAGTAAACAAACCAAATGACCTCTAGAAGTCAGTGGTTTGTGCGTAAATTAAGATTGCGCCCATGCAAATTATGATGACATCACTTGCCTGCGCGCTGCGTTGTGCGCGCACATCATCATTTGCATGGGCGCAATCTTAATTTACGCATAAATACCACTGACCTCTAGGTCATTGGATTTGTTTACTCGTCAATAAAAATGGCGCCTATGTCTGCGCATGCGCACTGATGTAACCGTAAACTGGTGTATTGTGAGCAGCAAATGGCTGTTTACGTACATCTGAAGAAGTGTCAGTAGAATAGCCCGCCTTTAAATTGCTCTCATATTAAATGTAGTATAAATCAATATGATTGATTGTCGATACGTATGTTTCAAGAAGGAAAAGTGACTGTGATAAATGTAGTAGCATTTGTATATGTAAGGACAGTAAGACACAAAAAGGGTTCATTTGCATGTTTTTACCATGAACAGAAAGAACCAACCTAACAACCCCTAGCTGAACATGAAATAAATACCGGTTGGAAATCGATGTTATCGGATTAGAGGTAGAAAGAAGGCCACAGGAGAATACAATGGAACTCGGGCATCATGCAAACACAAACCTCGGTAGTCTACTAACAATTTGCGTGAGTATTATCAAACAAATGTTGTATATATAATGAGTGATGTCGGTCGATGTAGATTTTCGTGATTTCTTCATAAGATTTCTGTTTATTTCCTGCCATTGATGTGTTTGCAAGAGTCATTTTGTTTGAATCAATATGTGCATTACAGATTTCATATGAACTTTGAGGCTCAGGAATCTTGTGAATAATCGCCACAACTTACATTTGCTTTTAAGGGTAACCTGACAAGGATGTCTTTCTTTTCGTTTCTTTTCTTTTCCTTTTTTTTCTCTTTCTTTGGTTTTCCTTTCTTTAATTTCTTTTTTTTTCTTCTCATGTTATTCATACACGCCATATATTAATGATGTTATACTCGAAATGTGGTCTTGATGCTCTCTGTTATCTTTCCATAGAGGATTGCTGTGGTCATACAAGTCCTAAGTTGGGGCTCCTTTTGCTCTGGTAAGCACTTAGAGTTTTTACTTAACTTTGTTTGTATTTATCCACCATCATGACCACCATAATTTAGATTAATGAGAGTTATGCGCATTGATCGCGGCTGTGTGTGATTCTGCAATATTGCTGTCCAACTATGTATCCACTATTATTTTGAATCAATCACTTAAAAGTGTATGTAGGAGTGTGTGCGTGGGTTATACATGTATGTGTGTAGTAACAACCTGAACTATGACAAAAAATGATATATGTTGCTACAAAGAGAACTACAAACCTGTCGTCTCTTCTGATGTTAAGGATAATACATTTCTTTTTTTTTTCCCCTTAACAGTTTAGATTATCAGTCTTTAAAATTGGAGGAGGGTAAAAGGGGGAGGGAAAAAGAGAAGAGGTTTAGAAAGGTGGGAATGTAGAATTGCAAAGAGACAGAGAGGAATACAAAGGGAAGCATACACAGGTCATCAAACAAATAAGTCACAGACCTTCTCATGACAAGGCAAATATTTTAGACAGCTAATCAATTTATGAAAATAATTATGCGACGTGATAAAAATGATTGATAGTGCTACAACATGTATTTGCATTCCAATTACCGCCTTTGACGGGCTGGCATATGACGCAAAAACTGTTGTGGATTTATCCAATTACATTTCGAATGGCCATTGCTTCACCTAAAACGATTTTTGTTTCTGTTTAATGTATAACATTTAGCTAACATTTATTCTTTCTGTAAGTTGTGTTTATAACACCCTCGTCCCCACTCAACGTTTGTAGGAATGATACAAAATAATCTGTAATAAAAACCCTATCCTAAAAAAACTAACATTTTATATTGGACACCTAAGGCCCCTCTAAAGTGTAAGGAGCCCCAAATTCGCTAACAGGTTTATAGCAACATTTCATTTAAATTGTATCATAATGTGAAAAATGATGTCATTCAAGACACACTTCTGCAAGGATTCCTCCCCCCCCCCCCCCAAAAAAAAAAAAAAAAATGAAAAAAAAATGATAATACAAAAAAAAAAATTAAAAAAAAAAAAAATATATATATATATATATATAAAATAATAATAATAATTAAAAAGAAAAAAGAATTATGAAAAATTTGTTTAAAGACAAATATTAATAAAAGAATACTAATAATAATTTCGGTTTTCTGTTGTACGCAGAAAAACCCAGATGTTGTATTTTCTCATTAATATTCGACTTCAAACACATGTGATTCTTAAATCCTTGCAGAAATGTGACATTATGATACAATTTATGTGAAATGTTGCCATCAAATTTTCGAGGCTCAAAACACTTTAAGGGGCTTTAATAACAAAAATATTGAAGTTTCATATAAACCAAACGTGTGGTTTTGGTATCACTTTATGATTTGTTAGCATAACATGGATCTCTATAGACTACAAATTTTCTCAACATAATCAAATATTTGTCTGTGTTTGCCAGAAAGACCATCTAGCAATCTAGATAAACGTTCCATCTGTTTCATTCATATTTTTAGTTATTCATTCAGTCTTCCTGTTTTATACGAATAGGCCTATACAATCCTTAAAATTGTATAAGTGCTTTATCAGCATCGTCATGTGCATCTCATGTTTATATTTATTGTTCATTTTGACAGGAATAGAATGCCAGGTCTGCCAAACCGTCAACTCATTAGCCGAATGTGACTCAACTCAAGTATGTGCTTCTAATGAGGTAGGGAGAACTGATCTTCGGCAAAATTCAAGCTTAACATTTTAGAGACAGAGAGGGGGAGAGAGCGAGCGAAGTAAAGGGAGAGAGAGAGTGTGTGTGTGTGTGTGTGTGCGCGCACGCATGTGTGCGTGCATGTGTGTGTACGTGTGTGTGTATATATGTATGTGTGTGTGCGTGCCTGTTTGGTATATTTTCTGCTTAATCCGACACTTTTTAAATCATTTCCTTTTGATAATTGATATTTGTGAATACATGGTAATTTAGAGAGGAACGTAATTAATTCGGAAAGCAATTCGTTTTTTACCATCCCATGTGTAATTTTTCCGTTTGACATCGCAATCAGCAGCGTAGCTATAGGGAGAAGGGGTGAGGGCATGTGCCCCTATTGAATTGAAGGGGAAAAAAGAAATATAATAAAGATAAAAAGCAAGATGGTGAAGGAGAAGAGGACGAGAAAATACCCCCCCCCCTCTTCTCCTTTCCGCCACCTCCAAGTCAGAGGGCTTCTACAGTTGCTTTTTATTGTCAATGTTATTTCGATGCCCCTACCCTATGATACCAGTGTCCATTGCTGGTCTCGCCCTACGTCACCAATCATAATAAACCTTGTCCGTCTCTATACTATTATTGATTACCATCCTTGTGCTAGCACAGTAATTGCCAAATGATTGAACAGCTCTCTATTTATAGTGCATATAACCTCATCACGCTGTGTAATTATTTATATTTACATTCTTTTCTTGAAGTGCTTTAATATGACAATATCATGCCTTCTTGATAGATTTGAAGTTTATATCTAATTCTCATAACTATATTGACGAAGCTAAAGAGTCATAGAGAGTGATCAATAAGTACAATACTGCACGATTCACTTATCGTGATTGTCGAAACTTGGGGATAAAATATTATTTTGTCTGAATGCGCCGAAATAACCGAGCTTTGGGTAAATCTGTATGATATTTACAAGTTTATTTTACATGAAAAAATACAAGCTAGTTTTTGCGCTTAATACATGAACTTATAATATAATCATCATATCGAGGATTCTAGTGAACCCCACTGTGACTTACAAATGTTCCCTATCATCAGACATTTCCAGCAACGACTCTGACTACACGATAATCGTTTTGATGTTTTGACAAGCAAGTGTAATCTGTGTTAATCTTTTTTATCGAGCAAACGTAATGTTTAATCATGTTTCGATTAACAAACGGTGTGCATATGACGTCAGTACCCTTTGCACAGTCGGAAATCAATTATATTGAATTAGCATGATCAATATAGTTACCATAGGAATGCCACTCTATTACTCTCAAGTCTGGTGGCAAATTGTATTAAATGTTGATATTTTCAAACAATGATAATATTAATGATAATAATGATAACAATATCAATAATAATAATAATAGTAATAACAATACTAATACTAATAGGCCTATGAATACTACTATGAACAATGTACTATTAATGATAATATTAATGAAAATAATGATAATGATAGTTAAAATGATAATAATAATATAAATATTAATATTTGGTTCTTATTTACCCTAGTCAGCAAAATCGATATTTTGTGTGCATATTGCTGTGATACAGGACCTGCAATAATACCCCAGATTGAAAAAATAGAGGAGAGACGGGGTGGATAGAAAGGAATAGAAAAGGAAAGGGGGAAAACTGATATTATTCAAAGCGTATGGAATCATTCAATCATTCAACTGTCATATTAATCCTAGGGGGAAAAGGGCATCATCAATGAATAATAGTAGAAAAATAAGCAGCGGGGATCAAAGTGGTATGGGAGAGACAGAGCGAGATAAAAAAATAAAAAAAGAGAAATTAATGGAAGAAAAAAATGACGCACGCAAAAGATATGATAATGCTGTAAAAAGAAAAAGAAAAAATAATAACAAGAAGCTTGTTTAATCTTTAATAAGTTTAATTGATTGGCTATATAGCATCCCCATGTACAACATTCCCATACTGTTTCCTAGATAAATAACATTTTAAGATGGTTTTATGAGCATAATAAAGACACTATTATGAATACTCTTTTATCTCGATAAATTAAATTTTAAGATGGCATTATGAGCATAATAATGACAACCAAAAGAAGAAAACAAATAATGCCAGTCGATTAATTTCGTCACCGGACTATGGATCAAAAGGACCTCAAGTCTAAAGCCCTTTGGCAAGACTTCAGTCTCCATAGTGCCACTTTAAACCAGGTTTATCTGATTGGGACCTCCTAGTTAAGTCCAGATTTGGTACATTGGTTGTCGGTTGTAGCAGCACTTTAAAGATAATATGTCCCTTTTGCAGCCAACATCAAATTCTGTAGAACTTTGCAGAAATTATGAAAATGTCATTGTATGTCCTATCTGTGAAATGTAAACATTAGCCGTGTCCTAGTATTAAACTTATGCAAGGAAACTTGTTTACCTTCTAGACTTCACTGTCAGACACCATTGATTGACTGACATATATTTTTCTTTGGTGATAACATGTATAAAATGAGCTGTAACAGGTACATGAGCATTTGTCTACATCAATAACCCACTATGTGTAATAGCCCAAATTAAACTGATTGAATATTTGTGTATTCGGTAAAAGAGTCTGAAAAAAAATTATTTAGGTGATTGCAATCACTTAAGTCGATTTGACTACTAATGTTCGTTATTTTCCCACTAAAAGCCATTTTCAAGCCCTTTTATTTTGAGGGAAGTTGTAAATTAGTATTGTCTTTCAAATGCCATTGGAATTTAACCTAATCATTTTGTTGGTCTGCAAATGGGACATAATACCTCTAAAGGTGAATTCGATGATCGGGGTAATCAACCGCGTTAAAGACATCGAAGAAGCATTAAGCGGTATACTAATCCAAACTAAAATAACTAATACTATTTCACGATTGCAGATCTGTAGGACAGAGATCAGGACCCAGGCTGCCTCGACGTATAAGATGGAATGCAAGCAAGATCAAGCGTGCCTCAATGAACAAGAGATTTACAAAACACAGTGCACAGGGGTAGCTGGATCTGTTTGCGTCACCTGCTGTGATACAGACCTCTGCAACGCCCCGACCCCCGATCCCCCTGCAGCCACAGCCGCCACTACCAACCCGCCAACATCTATAGATGCAGCCACAACAGTGACGGAAGCAGCGACAACAAAAGCTACAACATCAGATGCAGCCACAACAGTGACAGAAGCAGCGACAACAAAAGCTACATCGACGCAGCCACCCACACATCCAATAGGTAGTTTATTCATGGACATTTCTATTCCCTAGCAGCACGAATATTAGTGGAGGTATATCGACTGCTATGAGAGGCCTGGCTGTTTTTAGGCTCAAGGGGACGTTGCATCCTGCCTTGAACAAGACGTGCGCCTGGGCGAGCGGCGCTATGAGGGGTCAAGTAAGGGTGCAACGTCCCCGAGACCCAGTATAAAAACAGCTAGATTCGAATATTAAAGCAGTCGATATATCTTTCATATATCAAATTAACACAAATATCTACAAAGAATTCTTGCCTTATCCTTTTCTTGATAAAGATATGAATAAAGATTGGTTTAATCATCACAGAAAATCTGAGACACTGTCTGTTAATCTTCGCTGATAAGATGACCAAATGTTACAATCATTTGGGAATCACACACACACACTGCACCGTATGGTATCCGCGCTCGCACAAAGTAACTTTTAACACGCAAACCGATGGGGATTTCATCATGAACTAATGACCGTTAATGGCATTGTTCGTTTCTTTACAGGAATGGCTAAAATCACGACTCCGATTTCGACCAATCAGACGGCTAGATTTTTTATTCGTAATGCATCCAATATCGACGCAACGTCAGTCTATATTTCCCAATGCTAACTTGCACACCAAGTGCCACTTCGATTGCGCTATTCACTGTGCTAACCACTCCTGTGAAGAAATTCCTAGTGCTTGAGCCAATAATTCAAAAGCTTTCCTTTTCTGCATCACTCTTACATCAGCAAGTTGCGCGGCGTGTCACGCGACATTCACTGATGTAGTCCTACGTCAGCAAATGACGCATAGTGTGCAAAAGTTTTTTTTTTATTTATGGCCACTTTAATAAACGACGTTGCTTTTATCTAGATTGTCAATAACATATTTTTTTCCTTAGATAATAAGGAGGTAATAATGATTCCAATAAAAATAGGTTTGAGAGTTGAAATGTTTTGATTTCATGATAATCAATTATGTATTCAGTCACGCTACCTCTTTCTCCTTCTCTCTCTTTCTCTCTCTCTCTGTTTCTCTCTCCCTCTCTCTCTCTCTGTTTCTCTTTGTCTTTCTCTGACTCTCTCTGTTTCTCTCTATCTCTCTCTCTGTCATTCCTTTTCCCCTCCTTTTTCTTTGTGTTAATTGTGTTCCCTTCTTAGTTCTAGTATCTCTATTTATTTTGTATAAATTACCCTTTATATTTTATTTTCCAGCTCCTTCGGGTTCATCACACATAAGCTCATCACTGTACAAACTCTACAGGTCGGCACAGCAGGTCAATCCTCAGTACGTCTTCGATACAGGTCAGGCAGGCTCTCTCATCGCATGCACTATGACCTGCGCACAGACTGCAAATTGTAAATCATTTGGATACAACAGTGTGGGTAGATTATGCTACATCGTGGGATCGGATGCCAGTGATCTAACATTCACTAATACAGCAACATGCAACCATTATATTCCGGTGATTTGAAATCAGGCCTTAAAAGGGCCACCCTAACAAAAACGGGCTATAAAAAAAAAATTAATTTAAAGACATGTAACAATTTTTGACAGAGATTTCGAACATGAAAACGATTTTTCTTAGAAATCATCAATGATTCTAGAATGTAGCTTAAACAAAGACGACTCAGAACGCTCAGAAAAAAAGCCCAGTTTCGGAGCTGTATTGCGCAATGGCATATGATGTCACTGCATGAGACTTCTCGGGGTAACGGAAGGTGATGTAGGCATTAAAATGTATTTAAAAGGCTAACTATGATATTAATTGGGGGGAAGACATTTATCCGAAAAATAATATGCACTAGATAATCCCAGTACGTTTCTGGCAATTTCGTCATTCCTAAACAAGAATTACAATGAGATTGTAAGATCCTTTAATTGTACGACAAATCGGATATTCCCGCAATGAAGCCACGTGACCGTATACCTTTTTGTTTAGGGGCGTTATTATCATTTTTTGGTCAATTTAGAGATTTGAAAAATCAGAGACTGAAATATAAATAAGTAGAGGTGTATTCATGTTTTGAAAGGCTATGTTAGTTGGGTTAGAGTGGCCCTTTAAACAGGCAGTATCTGCAATATCCCGGGGAACACAAACTGTTCATTTGCGTCAATTAACGTTCTATAGACAGAATAAATATTCAACGTTTTGCGAACGTCTTTTAAAGATTGTGTATTTGCTTGAATGACGTTATCAAGATTATAACCTGAGCATAAAATGTTGGGAGGATTTAGCTGTGGATTTTCTATTTTACACACTTTGTATTAAATTATTTTAGCGTAAATAATTTTGGGGACAGAGCCATCTTTACACAGAGTTTGGCAAACTTGGTGTTAGTTCCTCGCGGTATGACGTAGATCATTTTATTTTGTGCTTGCCCAACAGAGCCGTATTCGCCTTATAAGCCAGTTCATAGAAACAATCTGCGCGTGGGCAGATAAAGGTCATTTGTACCAAAAAGGTAAAACCCACAGAGATGAATACTGGATATGCGCTCATGAAAGTTATGTAACATTATTCATTTATGCACCAACGGTACATTCTATGATACGCAGGTGGAAGTATTCTTTTCAAGAGGGCAAACAAAAGGTATTCATGAAGCACATCTAGGACTTTGGCAGTTATTATTCTAATATGCTCAAAGTGGAACTTCTCCATGTGTAAAAGATCTGTGGATATTTGGGGTCATTTGTACCATGTGCTATCTGTAAACTCCCTTATTGTGCCCCACTCGAACCGGGTTGGCCAAACTCTCCTCATAAATGGTTCTGCTTGGGAAGTTTTAAAAGCGCCATCTTGAACCGAATGACAACAACATTCAGGTTGCGATATGATAATCAATATATGACTCGAAGTCCAAAAGACTGACAGCTAAGAATACTGTTAGGGCCACAATTTCCCTTTTTTACATGGAAAAGGTGCCCTCCTTTTAATTTGAAAGGTGCCCCTTTTCCTTTTAAGAAGCGCCCTTTCCCCGTCTAATAAGTGTCCCTTTTTACCTCCGATAAGAGCCCCTTTTTGCTTTGACACGTGCCCCTTTTCCTTTCTAAAAGTAAACTTTGTTTTCTTCAATTATTGCCCCCTTTTTTTCCTTCTCCATAATACATGTACATGCCCTCATTTAAAAGCGACTTTCATATTTTTTCTTAAATTTCCACCAAAGCTCTCTCGTATTGTTAGTTCATGATTAGATTGTGGTTAAAACCAATAAGGGTTTGTTAGTTTTTCTCTGTATAAGATGTAATATTTCATAAATACCTCACAAGTATTTAATTTTGGTTCAATCGCTTCGCTCGTTCGCAAATTAATACAATGACAAAGTATGCTGCTGAAGCAGTATCTTGGACCGTGTAAGGAGAGAAACAGTTATCTAAATCATCCATGATAATGTCATCGAGATCATGAAGAAAAAAAAGGATATATACTAACGTCTGAAATTTGAATGTTTCACTTTGAGGTTTCCCTTTTTAGGTGCCCTATTTTTTTCTTCAGAAAGTGCACTTTTTAGTTGGTGCCCCCCTCCCCCTTCTTCACTTTTGAAGACCCCGCACTCACAAAACAGAGAAATTAATATAATAAGGAGAGATATATTCTATGTCGGTCTTGTGGAAACAACAGTTTGATTTTAACCCATGTACATTCGAGGATTACATCCGAGATATCATTACACATTGCTGTATACGAGTCATGCTTTACAGCCAGTTTCAATGATATAAACTAATTTTGTTTACACTTTACACAATGCGGAATTTAATCCAATTTTCTCGCACAGCACTTGGGAGATAAAAACTATAATGGCTCCATTACACTCTCACGTTTCTGTTTTTCGAATAAATCCTGGCGTAATTATTTTATTATGAAATCACATTTTCGGAATCGTTTTGGTCAGACACAACGGATGTTATGAGTTGAGTAACAATCTTTCGATTCGCAATGTCATTTGAGCTAATAGAAAATTCATGAATTAACAAATTTCATCGATAACAATAATTTATGATGAAGCTACAGAGAAATAGTGTAAATACTTTAGGACGTATATATCTTTTTTTAGCTTTAAGTTTTGAGTCCCACCGGTATATGTGTACACATATTAAGTCAGCGAGAAAGGCTGTAATTAATGGAACATTGTACATAAACATGACAGAATAAGATGTAGGCAGAAGCAAAACAGACGACGAACCGCTGGATTGTTGAGACATATACCATGAGAAGAGCAGAGGAAAAGGGGAAGAATGTAAATTGCATGATAACTTGAAAAGGGTGTCAAGAGAGATATAAAAGGTCAAGAAAGTGAGCAAAAAGGGAAATGGACGAAAAGCAAAGTATTGTATTGTCTATACTAGACATTTAAAGAAAGATCTGCTTCTGAGTATAACCATTTATATCAAGATAATATTTAGTGATTTTATGTATATTTTACTGATATTACCCGAAATGTGACTGTGGCATTATATTATTGACACGATGACGTGATAAGTGACGGTGATATTTAAAAATTATTATGATATGGCGTTTAGTATATAATAAATATATATCAAAACACAAAAAAAGCCTTGTGTAAATTAATGATGTTGGTGGTGCGGGTGATGACATGGTATGGTGATATTGATGCAAGATATTTGTCATACTGATGTTAAAAACACAATAATTTTTTTTTTAAAATCTAGTCATGAAATGAAAATGAAAATGATTTCATCAAAAGATGCATTAAGTTTATGGAATTAGGTATACAGTTGTGTTGGTCTGCTTTTATATTTTTTTTTTTTGTTTGCGATGAAGAAGTTACCCTTGCTGTACTTTATAAATCAATGGTATTAATTCTACACCCTTCCAGGGGGTTAAAGCCAAACCAATGGCAATAGAATTCAAGGAATATGGGCCAGAGTGGATATGATCATATCTAGACAAATGTATAATTGATAACAAATGTATAATTGATATTCCAAGCAATTTACTTTTTTCTGTCATAACATTGACATTAAACACAATTAATTTCATTTGGTTCTTCTTTCAGTTTATGATAGGATCTAAAACGAAAGTCTTAGATTGTTTCAAAAAGATTGTATACCCTGTTCCCTCTCTATTTAATAAGTGCCGTTATAGTTGTACAGATACAATGAATATGAATACAAATGCACACGATGAGGTAATGGGTACATATTGAAGCTTTCTTTTTCACAAATCGAAGGAAAATTTAAACAGTTACTACGCAAAGAGGGCGCTAGGCCAGAATTGCCTAAAATCAATGTTAAGCTAGCGCTTCAATTCAGGTGCCGTGGCATTATACAAATGTATGCCTCATATTGATAGTGAATTCATAATAATTGAGTGTCGTAACGAGTAGGCCTAGCAACGTGACTACATTCTCATAATGTTCGCTTTGCGTGACTGAACATTTGATTGTAAAAACAGTTCCATGGTGTTATGCTAAATATGTCTTTGTTATTTCTACGTAATACTAAGTTAATTCATAAGAAAATGATTTCTATATTTGGATGGTATATCATTGATTTTTCCCCTGCTGGTCAATATGACATAAACAGCGCGAATCGGTTAAAGGGATTTCTGCTTAATAGTCTTTTCTTCCTTTAAAGATACTACAGGTATATCCCTTTTGCAGCCAACCTCAAATTCTGTGAACTTTGCAGGAATTATGAATATGTCATGTATTCCTATCTGTGAAATTTAAACGTTAGCAGTGTTCTAATATTGAAATCATGCAAGGAAACCCGTTTACTTGCTAGACTTCACTGTCAGACACTATTGAGTGACTGACTAGCTTTTTTTCTTCTTTAGTAATAACATACATAAAATGAGCTGTAAAGGGTACATGAGCATTTGTCTACATCAATAACCCACTTCTTGTAATGGCCAAATTTAAACTGATTGAACGTTTGCGCAGCATGGAACGTACGACCATTCGGTATAATGGTCTGAAAATCAGATTATTCCGTACTGGATATCGATTTGACAACTAATAGTCGTTATTTTCCCACTTAAATACATTTTCAAACCCCCTTTTTTTAGGGAAGTTCAAATGCCGTTGGAATTTAACCTTTTCATTTTTGGGGCCTGCAAATGGGACATAGTACTTTTAATATTTGAAGGTGGCATTTTGGTCGAGACATTTCAAATATTCGCTGCCTCGCATATTCCTGGTTATTATTGTTTTTCATTTATCTGCAGTTTTTTTTCTTCTGTTTTTATTCATTTTTAATTTATGGTTAAACTGCGTGAAGTGTCACATTAACAACTCGGAATGTTACTTCACTTCGGTATGTTATTCAATGAACTAACGCATCTCTTCAAACTGCTGTCTGAATTCAAATCTTGTCATTAAACCAGGTTAGTTTACCCATTGATATTTATTGAAGTTGTCGTTCCCGTTGTGTGTGCTTAATACAGGGAACCACCCGGTTCTCAAAATGAGTCAACATGAGTATTCATTATTCTCTTTCCCTAATAATGGGACACATGTTTCAAGGTGATTATTATCCTCTTAATATGTTT